TTTCCACCCCTTAACAAACCAAACAAAGGAAAATGGGAAAAAATGGAAAATTTATTTTCCATGAAAACCTTTTACATCAAACCAAACAGGGCCTCAGTATCTCTCAATCTGACAAGGGCTTTGTTTGATGGATAAGTCATCAGTGAACAATGCCCACAATGATAACAAGCAAGAAACAGCCACTGGATTTTTTAAAAAAATTAGTTCATAATGTCTAATTCATTTACACATTTGGAAAATTAAGGGATTGCCATTATTGTAACCACACAATCTCAATTACTCCGTACTTCTTATAAAAGACGGAGCAAATGTAACAGATGGTTCAACTAGATAACTACTTGACTGTTGCTTATCATTCATCATGGTAAAACAACTATGCCCACTACCCAGCTTTCAGCTCAACTGCATCAGAGAGCCCAAGATTGTATTTAGCATAATTCTATTCTTAAAAACAGGTCTGTAATTAGCACTTGGTGCTGGAAAACATTATCTTCCACAAACTCAACATAAAAGCATAAGCGAGTTTGCCAATGATATACATTCTATGCAAGGTCAACAACAGGAATTTGTCCAATCTGTTTAACAATGTGTAACAAGTCCAACAAACCAAATAACGCTGAAATCTCACACCATCAGCAGCAATTAATCAGAAGTTAATGCAGTCTGAGACGAATTGCTAGCACTAATAAGCAAATTCCACTATGCTTAACACCGTAAGCATGACTATTCAGGCACACAAATGCCAGCATATCAGCATTACTAAGCCTCACTTATCCTCTTTTTTCTTTTATTAGATGATCATGAATCCTTAAACTTCCGGCATTAAAATCCCACATAATTAGAACCTAATAATAGCAATTACCTGTTGTTATAAACAACCATTCCTAATTATCAATCTAGGTTTGAAGTCAGAATCAAAAACCCACTTTTGGCAATAGCTTGTACATGGAGAAAAGCATAAGAATCAGCTAAATCAAGTACTACCACAATTGGATAATTAAATTAATTTAATCATAATACTAATCACATTAATCAAACTACCATCTAACTTTTGTATGTTTACATAATCTTACCCACAAAAGTAAAGTAACTCTCAGCCAAAAAGTGAACAAGCATCAGCTGCCACCCAGAAAAATTAATGCACATTTCCTCACATCATCAATTAAAAAAACAACAAAAGACCACAGCTTTATCCAATTCTATTTGTCGGTACATAGAGACCGCCCAAGGACAGTGGTGTAGACGGGATTCGATCTGACACGACCTCTCGAGACTTTACCAATTAAGCTAGCTAACATTGACTTTTACCATCCAATGCAAGTAATATTTTCAGCTCAAAAATCAAAATTACAAAACCCACAAAACAAATCACACTAAAAAAAATCAACTACAAAAATGAAATTAAACATAAACCCAGAAAAATTAAAAGTAGAAAATAAACCTTGGTAGGTGGGATTAGTAAAAGATCGATCTGTGAAAGAAGTATTGTTACAGGCATCCAAAGAACGATCAGATAAACGAGAAGAAACGCGTTTCTTAATTCCAGATTTTCTCTTTTTGCGATTGTTACTAGTAGTAGCAGTACTAGTACTATGATGGGTTTTCTTCTTTGACCTCTTTGATTGTTTCCCAACACACCCTTTTGGGGTTGATACACAAGCTCCCATCTTTTGTGCCCCTTTCTCTCTCTAGAAATTGCAGAAGAGAGAGAAAAAAAAGGGGGAAGAAGATGATGAAAAAATGGAGGAAATATCGAGAATTATAATACTACTATAAAGTATAAATAATTAACAATTATAATTATGAAGATGATGATGTGTATAAATACAATGCAATGAATTGAATTGAATGCGAAGAGAGGAAAGAGAAAATAAAAAGCAGCAAAACGTGATTTCGAAGGGAAAAGATCAAAAGATATATTTGTGTGGGTGGGTCGGATGATATAAGGAAAGAAGAAAGAATAGGAAAGAAAGAGCTTTGTTATGCAACAAACGAGGAGAAGAACAACCGCATTCTTTTATCTGGTATTATAAATTTATAAATTTGCAGCGATGTAGACGAGACTTGATTTAAATAGCAAACATATTAAAGTGTGTTTTCTTCACTTAAATTTACGGAGTTTTAATTTTAGATTTATTAAGCTTGATTAACTTTGATTTCACCTTCTTCGTCTTTATATTCACGTTTAATAAGATCTAATGAAATATTTTATGTCTCATAACAAAATACTTCATTCGTTTCTATTTAGTTGACGCGTTTGATTTAGACAGTTAAACGCATATATTAAGGAGATGAGAGAGAGTGAGAGATAATGAAAAAGCAAGTGGAGTAGTTTGTAAATACAAGGTAAAAAAATTTATTCCAAAAGGAAACGTGTCAACTAAAAAACTTCCTAAAAAAAATACTTGTCAACTAAAAAGAAACGGAGGTAGTACCTTTTATTACACATAATAGTTAACATATAAATAGTTTGTTTGTTTTTTTTTGTAAGTATATTGTTGTTGATTTTTATTTCTCTTTGATTGATGTTGATTTTTTATTTCTTTGGTTGATGTTGATTGTTGAGAAAATTAGAGTGATTATTTTATTAGCATTATGATGATTTGAGGATTACTATGAAAAAGATTGATAGTAGATCTAAATATTTAATGAATTTAAAAATATCATTTTTTAATTATAGTTGGACTAAAATCTTATCAATTTGATTTTGGCTGAGAACTTTTATTCAATATTGGGATATGAGGTGGATATTGGAGCACCTACTTCTCCAACCCTCACTTTTTGTTTAATTGACTTGGATTATGTTAATAGTTAAAATGAATCTTATATTGCTGTCATTCAAAGAAAGTAAATATTTTCAAACCCTTTTTAATCATACTATTTGCTTAATTAAACTTTTTTGATTTAATATTCATTTACATAATTGTACCCCGTACATTTTAAGTACTAGTGTACTACCAATGTGATATCCGTAGTCAACTCATAAATTAATATGCTTCATTCATTTTAATTTAATCTTTACGTGCATATAAAATATCTCGATTACATTGTCAAATTTTGACCTAAGAGAAAAACAATTGTGTGAGATTTTGATAAATTTGAGTTGCTCCGTAATATACATATCTAAATTATCAACTTTCAATTATTTTAAAAAAATCATGTACTTAAAGATATCTATATTTAAAGTTTTATTAAAGATTTGAAAAGGACAAACAACCCATTGAACTAGAATTATATTCCGAAAACTACTTTCTTGGAATAACATATATCTAATCAATTTTCAAGTGCATTAAACTAAAAGGTAATCTATACCTCACCACTAATATTCTTTAATCAAGTAAAGACTTGATAAAATCCAAAAACTTTATAACAACTTGATCATTACAAGAATATATAATAGAATTAAAATTACCTCCACTTGATTTGACTTTATAAAAATTAATATTTTGCTAACTACAATATAATTTGAAGTAAACTAATCTAATTAAAATTTATAATCGTTAATTAAAAAACTACTCCGTATTTACTTCACCATTTGAGAGTTAAAAAAAGTAACACATAATTTTAATTAATGTATACTATCTTCATTAAATATAAGATGCAGTTTTGGAATTTTTATATCTTATCAATAATGTCAAATTACAACTAATGTTTAACGGAAGTAGTATATCAAATCCATATATGTAATTGGATAGAATTTGTATCAAAAGCACCGTGTAATAATAAAGAAACCAAAGCCAATTTTTTTTTTTTTTAAGGGAAAAACCAAAGCCAGATTAAAGAAGAAAAATAGTGAGATTTTTTTTTTTTTTTTTTTGAAAATCAAGAAAAAGAGTGAGGATTAATTAGTTGAAACTTCAAAGTCTAACCGATAAGAAGGGCAGTCAAAATAGAAAAAGAGGTTCAGATTCAGTCAGTCAGTCACGGCAGTTGTAAGCCGCGTTTGTTAGCGTATTCTTATTGGCTTTAACTATTAATTATTACGCTCATTAAGTACTTCTGCCACGTGTGACCAAATCTATGGCAAAGCGTGTGCATTTTTATTTTTTAATTATTTTTTCTTTGTTTTCAGTGAATTTTTGTAATTTTCAGTAGCATGCACCTTTATTTTTTTTTAATTTTTTTTTTTTTTAACTTTGATGTTATTTTTTAGTGGAAATTGGAAGGTACAGAAAGCAAGGACTCATGTTTGTTGTTGCTAGCTAGCTTTACCCTTTTCCCAATTTTGTCTATTATGATTGTTGTATTGTAAAAATGGCAAAATTTTCTTCTTTTATGTGTTTGTTTTTCTTATGTGGACCGCTTAAGTGGTTGTTACTACTCCTTCGGTCATTCAATATTGTTGGCGGAGTTGACGAGCGAAAGTAATAGTAATGTATAAGTGAAAAAGTTATAATTTGTTATAGACATTTATAACATAACAAGTATAAAAAAATTTAATAGAGCTAGGGTAAAATTTAGGTAAGCGAAAATAAAACTTCATCTATTTTATGTGACGTCATATCACTATATTATGTCCCTTAATCTTAACGAATAGATCAATCAATCATGTGGCATGTGCTGAAATGTCCTTGCCACCAAATAGCTCTTTCATCATTTGTATAACAAACGTCTACATTATAAGTACATTGGCTTAAGGAAGTTGTTTTCCATCTAAAAGATGCCATGTAGTATATGCTAATTATGGTTAAGACTTAAGAGGTATTGATGGTGATATTATTTGATAGATATTATATTTAGGATAATATTTGTCGCAGATTAGGATATATTAAATGTATATTTTGTATGTTTATCGTATTTAAGATTCCTAACGGAATTAGGCCTAGCGTTGTAAACTCTATATATTTGATCAATGGTACACACTCCAGATTGAGGAGTTTTCCCGAAATCTAACATGGTATCACAGTTTTAGGTTTTTCGATCCTGATTAATTAATTTTCATTAATTTTTCCTTTCTTTGCTTCCGCTTTATTCCTTGATTTCGTCACTGACCCTCAACCATGGCTAAAGATGACGACTCGACGCCACCTCCGCCACCTCCTCCTTCTTCACCCGAGTTCCATCCGGCACTCACAATGACTAACATCAAGAATTCGATCCCCTTAACCCTTGATTATGAGAAAGTCCAATATTCAAATTGGGTAGAATTGTTCGAAAATCATGTCTGTGCTTATGATGTTCTTGATCACATAGACTCCAATACACCTCGTCCTTCCAATATTTCTGACATCTTGTGGAATCGCCTTGACGCGATTGTAAAACAATGGATCTACGGAACCATATCGAAGGATCTTCTTGAAACAATTCTAGGTAGGAAGTCTACTGCCAAAGAGACTTGGGATCGACTCAAAGACATCTTTCAAGATAACAAGAGTACGAGGGTCGTTTATCTTGAAACCCAGTTGAATGCGGTTCACTTGGATGGCTTCCAAAACGTCACCGCTTTCTGCCAACACCTCAAGAGCCTTGCTGACCAGCTTGCAAACGTTGACCAGCCAATTTCGGATCAAAAGTTGGTCCTCCGTCTTGTGGCCGGACTTAACATAACGGACTTTGACACCGTAGCTACAATGATTGCACAAACAGATTTGTTGCCTTCCTTCAACACTGCTTGATCGCGGCTCCTTCTGGAAGAACCGCGCCGCAACACCGAGAATAACAACCCACCCTCCTCCTTCGTCGCACAGCAGCAGTCAAATCCCGCGTCATCTGCCGACCAATCGCAACCTCAACCAGCGTCTGGTGGTGGTCGGGGTGGCGGGACGGGACACGGAAAGGGCAAGGGTGACCGTGGAAAGGGTCGTGGCCAGGGTCGTGGTGGACCACCTCAAGGCCGTGGCGGATCCCCCAATCAGCAGCAGCACCCCACGCAAGGCATCCCACCTCAACAACAGCAAGCTGGCCCTATTGGCCAAAATTGGGCCTTGCCCAATCAACAACTCTTTTGGCCTCAACAATGGGTTGTACCACCAGCACCTTTTCCCACTACAGGCCAGTTTCAACGGCCCAATACTCCAAGTCCACAACAGTCTTACTACATTGGCTCACCTATGTATGGCTCGACCACGACTCCAACGGAACTTGGTAGTGCTTATTCTTCGCCCGGGTTGACAACACCGGATAACGGATGGTATATGGATTCGGGAGCTACATCTCACATGACTCACACTTCCGGTAATCTTCTTCCCTTATTTAATTTAAGCACTAATAATCATATTTTAGTAGGCAATGGTCATCGCATTCCAATAACTGGTTATGGTCATACTAAAATCCCGAACAAACCCTTTGCACTAAAAGATGTCCTCCTCGCCCCTCAAATCATTAAGAACCTAATTTATGTTCGTAAATTTACTTCTGACAATTCGGTTTCAATTGAATTTGACCCTAATGGTTTTTCTGTGAAGGACCTACGAACAGGGAGGGTAATCACCAGATGCAATAGTTCCGAAGATCTTTATCCCATCACCACCACCAGTGATCCGACCACATGTCTTGCCACATCTCTTACCACAGTTGCTTCTTCAACTTGGCATGACCGTCTAGGACATCCGGGGGCACCTTCTTTAAGCTTTCTTAGGAGCAATAGTTTCATTAATTACAATAAGGAGAATAACTCCACTTTTTGCAATTCTTGTCAATTAGGGAAACATGTTAGACTTCCGTTTTACGATTCTAATAGTAAAACTTATTGTGCTTTTGATATTTTTCATGCCGATTTGTGGACGTCTCCTATTCGTAGTAGTAATGGTCACAAGTATTATTTGGTTCTTCTTGATGATTTTACTCATTATGTTTGGGCAATTCCGTTAGCATCTAAATCTGAAGCTTTTCAATCTTTTCTCCATTTTAGACAATATGTGCATACTCAATTTGAAAGACCCGTAAAATGATTTCAAAGTGATCATGGTCGTGAATTCGATAATGATCCATTCAAACAATTTTGTCTAGATAACGGGATGGTTTTTAGATTTTCTTGCCCTCATACTTCTTCTCAAAACGGAAAAGTCGAACGTATGATTCGAACCATAAATAATGTCAACCGCACCTTACTTTTCCATGCCTCTCTTCCCCCGATGTTTTGGGCTCATGCTTTAGAGACCGCTACTTATCTTCTAAATATATTGCCAACCAAGTCATTACAAAACTTGACTCCGGCACAAGCTCTCTTTCGCAAAAAAACCCATCATATGATCACCTTAGAGTGCTTGGTTGTCTTTGTTTCCCAAATTTGGCCGCTACGGCTCCTCACAAACTTGCTCCTAAATCTACCCCATGTGTCTTCCTAGGATATCCTTCTAATCACCGTGGTTACAAGTGTCTCGACCTTTCCACAAATAAAATCCTTATTTCAAGACATGTGGTGTTTGATGAGTCAACTTTTCCTTGTAAAAATTTGGCAAAATTCAAATTATCGGATTACGAGTTCTTAGGCTATGATGATCAATCTCCTTTGCTCACTCACCCCCACCTAAGAAATCACCTCATTAGCCCAAACCCTCAAGCCAGCCTCCCCACTGGCCCAACTCAGCAGGCCCCCACGGATTCCCACCAACCTGGATCAGCGCACGCTGATTTTCCAGCGGGCCATCCAGCCTGCACTCCCCCCCCCCCGCCGCATCCCAATTGCAGCACTACCAGCGGCCGCAACAGGCCTGCGATCCCCTCTGTTTTCCACGCCTAGCCCAGCTGCCACACCTACCACCCCAGCTGCCACAACAAAGAGCCCAGCCGTACCACTGTATTCACCGCCACCTTTGCGTGGCATTGCCCCCTTGTAGCCCACTCGTCCACCTCCCCCTTCCCCTCGAGTCACCCGTAGTCAACGGGGCATATTTAAGCCAAACCCGAAATATTGTAACCTCTCTGTTCAAAACTCGGGTCCACCTCACCACAAATCCCCAACCTCCAAAATCATATAAACAAGCTTTAAATGACCAAAATTGGAATGCGGCGATGCTTGATGAGTATAGTGCTTTAATTAAAACAGGGACATGGGAATTGGTGCCTAGGCCTGCGGGGGTGAATATTGTTAATTGTATGTGGATTTTTAAGCATAAATACAAGTCTAATGGTGACCTTGAAAAGCACAAAGCTCGTTTTGTATGTGATGGCAGGTCGCAAGAAGTTGGTGTGGATTGTGATGAGACCTTCAGTCCGGTAGTAAAACCGGCCACTATTCGTACTGTTCTCAATTTAGCTTTGTCTAAAAAGTGGTTGATACATCAACTAGATGTCAAAAATGCCTTTTTACATGGTGATTTGCAGGAAACTGTTTATATGCATCAACCTCCAGGTTTTGTTGATCGGAGGGCTCCTACTCATGTTTGTCGGCTCCGCAGGGCTCTCTATGGTTTGAAACAAGCTCCTAGAGCTTGGTACCAATGCTTTGCAAATTTTCTCGTCAAATTGGGTTTTGTCATTTCCAAGAGTGACAACTCTCTTTTTACTTTCCGACAGGGTGATGATATGGCATATTTGCTCTTATATGTTGATGATATTATTCTAGCTACCTCTTATGACAGGTTGCGCACGGGAATTATTTCTCAGTTGCAAACTGAGTTCCCTATGACTGACTTGGGTCCTTTGAGTTATTTTTTGGGGATTGCGGTGACCCGCAAACCCTCTTATATGCTACTTTCACAGGAAAAGTATGCACATGAGATTTTAGAGCGTGCAGGTATGGCCTCTTGTAAGCCTGCAACTACTCCAGTTGACACTAAGTCCAAACTTAGTGCAGATGCAGGACCACCTTTTCGGGATCCTACTTTGTATCGCAGTTTAGCAGGTGCTCTTCAGTATCTCACATTCACCAGGCCAGATATTTCTTATGCGGTACAACAAGTGTGTCTATTTATGCATGATCCCCGGGAACCTCATTATGAGGCTTTGAAACGCATTCTGCGTTATGTTCAGGGTACCATTGATCACGGCTTACATTTATATCCTACTGTTTCACATCGATTGATTACTTACACTGACGCTGACTGGGGAGGGTGTCCCGATACCCGGCGTTCTACTTCGGGCTATTGTTGTTTCCTTGGGGACAACCTCATATCTTGGTCATCTAAGCGTCAACATACTTTGTCTAAATCGAGTGCAGAAGCAGAATATCGAGGCGTCACAAATGTTGTCTCTGAGGCGTGTTGGCTACGTAATTTATTACTTGAGTTACATTGTCCTCTACGGCAGACTACTATAGTTTATTGTGATAATGTCAGTGCTATCTACCTTTCTGGAAACCCGGTACAACACCAACGCACCAAACATGTGGAGATGGATATTCATTTTGTTCGAGAAAAGGTTGCTTTGGGAGAAGTACGGGTTCTGCATGTTCCTACTAGATTTCAGTTTGCGGACATTTTCACTAAAGGCCTACCATGAGATTTATTTATGGAATTTAGGTCCAGTCTTAGCGTACAACCTCCTCCCGCTACGACTGCGTGGGTGTGATAGATATTATATTTAGGATAATATTTGTCGCAGATTAGGATATATTAAATGTATATTTTGTATGTTTATCGTATCTAGGATTCCTAACGGAATTAGGCCTAGTGTTGTAAACTCTATATATTTGATCAATGGTACACACTCCAGATTGAGAAGTTTTCCCGAAATCTAACATTATTAACCTTCTAGTACAATCTTTAATGTTTAAGAGATTAAATTAGAGTCTTTTCACTTTCTTTCTTATATAGCTAGCTAGGCTGATCATGCAATAATTGTGTGTTTTTTTAACCTTTTTTTTCATACACAGTAAATCTAATTTATCTAATCGATCCTAAATTATCCACGCAATTATCCAAGTGTTTTTTTTTAAATAAAAAAAAAATAAAAAAAAAACTCCTTTTTTTTAGTTAATTTTGTAATGTATAGGGCTGTTCATCATCAAATCAAATACATGAAACAAGAAAAAAGTACTTTTCACTCTTCTAATTATTAAATTTTCTTAATAATCATGATTTCAACAAGTCAGAATATATTTTTTTATTCTTAATATGACACATACACGTGACTTTATAAAACTAAAAACCATAAAACTTAAAACTATAGTGATTGATAAAGTATATAACATATTCCTGGACCTCAACCATCAGTTTAAGCTTTTGGTTGAGACCCAGGAATATGTTATATATACTCTATCATTTACTATCCCCATTATCCTAATTTCTACCTGTACATTGTTAACTTGGCTTCAAAAACTTAGAAATATTCAAATTGGACACCGTTCAAGTGAGTATTTTACATTTAAAAGAGAGAAAGAGAAAGAGATCAAAGAGTTTTATTATTTACAATAGGGTCTCATAACTCATAAGGTGAGGTAATAAAAGAGTATAAAATGAGAAAAAAAAAAAACAAAAAAACACAAATTTTTATGTGTGGATGGTCACACGGTGTAGCTGGCCATTATATGGGTTACTTCGTCAGTGTAATAGGGGTTATTTGGTGAGTATTAAAGGAGTTACTTCGTCGTTGTGATAGGGTTACTCGATCAGTGTAATAGGGGTTACTCGGTCAGTAACTCCGGGGTTATTTGGTCAGTATAATACGGGTTACTTTGTTTCTTTATAAGTGGTCACACAGTATAACCGGCCACACACAAGACGAGTAAAAGTAG